GGCTCCCCAAGCTCACCATCCCGACGATGGTCGTGCCGTGCCGAGCCGAGCTGAGCTGAGCCGAGCCGAGCCGAACTTCAACCTTAGTATCGGCGATATCCCCAAAGGACATGGGATCCTGAGGGAAAGCCACCGAGCTTCACCCCTGCCAAGCTCTTGGAGCACCGAGGCCCACTCTGCCATGTACGTGAAGGGAAAAACATTTCAGGAGTTTGGGCCCAGGGAAATGACATTACAGAAATTTTAAGATTAATTATGGCCCAAGGAAGTGAAATTACAGAAATTTTAAGATTAATTATGGAAACATAGACATTTGCAAGAGTGCAGGTTACTACCCCTGTCCTGCATCCATTGTCCAGAGAGAAAGGCTACCAGTGCAGGGAAGCTGCCATTTTCTCCCTCCTGCAGCGTAGGTGGGCATGGCTGGGTTTATCACACACTGGGGCAGTTGTGGCGCTCCATGTCCTCATAAACCATGTCCAGCCTGGAGCAGGGAGCTGGTTTTATCAGTACAGACGGTCCCAGCCTCCCAGGAAATCTCCCCACTGAGCCTGTGTGCTCCCCTGGATAGTACTTTATATCTCCTGAAAAGCCAGCAAAAAGGCTTCTTCAGCCCCTCACGGTGTGACTGAGCCCTCAGAGAAGAGAGGGGGAACTGGGATAGAGGCACCCAGCCCATGTCCCAGCTGCCAGGTGGAGTGTAAAGGGTGAATAAATGTACAGAAAGTCAGTCAATAAATCAAGTAAAAACTGCCAGAGCCTGTGCAAACGTGACGTGCAACACCACATCCAACAGAAAAAAACCTGACTCGCTGGTCAAATGCGAAGAGTCAAAGCAGCAGGGGGTATTTCTGGTGAAATGAAAGAGAAAGGGTAAACGTTACAGTTTGAACGTTTGTTAAAATGCAGTGCAAAAGGGCACAAAGCACTCCTGGCATGTCTGAGCTGCAAATACCCTCCCTGCTCATTGCTGGCTGTTTCCCCAGCAGTAGGTGCAGCCGGCAGAACAGCAGCTCCCAGACAATCCCGGTCCCGCCGCCTTCCCGGCAGACCACCGCGACT